GGGGGGGGGGGTTGTGTGGAAGAAATTTAGTCAAACCTTTCGGCTTCATTTTGTTCACTGCCTTTTGAATAATTTTCTCTTTTTCAATTTAAAACTTTTTTTCTCATATTATAATAATGATTTTAAAACATCTTTTCAATTCTGGTAAATGTTTTCATTTCATTCTGTTTAATGTTCAAGTAAAAAAAAAAAACATTTTATTTTATTTTTCAAGATTCACGCTCACCTGACATTAAACCTGAAATAACTGAAAGTCATAATCATTTTTATATCAAACTTATAACATCAATTGTTGAATATGTGCTGAAATGGAATATGTGTTCCGCGTTTATATCAAGTACTAGGCTTTTAGGGCGCTTCGCGGCCATCTTCTATTTCAATTGTGAACATTTTCTCTTTGAATGCATTGCAAAACAATAAACAAAGAAAGTTCGCGGATTTTATAAAAAAAATGTGGATTTCTAAATTTTATGAAATCGAACATTGTTTGTAATTTTAATCATCAATAAACCTTCCCTGAGGCCACGTTTGGTGTCAGTCAAAATTTGGGCCTGATCGGTTTAGCTGTTTTGACGTTTATTGGATGTAAACAGACAGAGAGGCAGACACGTAAAGTATATATCTATAGTACACTCTGACCAAAAGAACTGATAATTTTCCTCAAACTCTAATTTTCTAACTCCCCAACAACATGTTTCAGACCTTTAATTAAAAAAGATCAAGCACTGATCCTCAAATTTAAAATATTGAGATTAAAGATTAGCGATACTTTATCCAAAAAAAGTTCCCGCTTTAGTTCGTAGATAAAACTAATTTTCTTAGGCGTATATTTTTTTGTATAGTTTTAAACGGGATCCCAAAGTGGGCGTACCTGCAGGAGGAGATACTATCTGAGAAATGGGCGTGTCCGGACATGGTGTGCAGGGTGGGGGCTGGGGCACTGCGTAGGTGAATGCATTGAGACGTTTTCTATCTTCTTCATACATATCAATAAAGAGTTGAAGCTTCTCCTCTATTGTGTCAACCTGTCTCTCGGTATTAACAATCCTGCTCGCCAGACTGGACTTGGAGTCATATACATCCTTACTCTTCGTTCCCTAGATAGATAGATAGATAGATAGATAGATAGATAGATAGATAGATAGATAGATAGATAGATAGATAGATAGATAGATCGATCTGAATCGATCCTGACATTAAAGATACCACGCAACATTAAGAAAAATTAAAATCCTAAATTCTAAATCCTTGACTTAAAAATTAGTAAATCAATATAAATTTTGTTTGTTTAACATTTGCATCTTCTCGCTTGTCAATTTCTTCTAAATTTTGAATTCGTTTTAAATTTTTGTATTTGTATGGTTTGTAAAAAAAGTTTTATATTCGCTTTTATTTCAATACTTTTTTCGCTGTTTTTTTCCTAACGTTAGTAATGTTTTGATAATGTCTTTGTATGTTTTTTTTTATAAAAAATTTATAATAATTTTTGTGTCTTTTATCATTTTTGTTTTGTTCTTTTTACTTTTTGAATAATTAATAGGTTTCTGAAAACTATTCCTGTTTATTTTTATTTAGATTTGAACGCTGACAATTTTAATTAAGATTTTTAAATCATATTTTTTTTAGTAATTTTGCATTTTAAAAGATTCTGCTACTTACTGCATATTTTATAGATTTTTTTAAAGGCTTTTTGAGATACTTTTTTACTTATTTTGAGTAACAAAGTTCATCACTTGATTTTTTTTGTTTTTATTAAGTGGGTTTTGATATAAAATATTTGTTGTTGTTGTTGACATTGTTATTGTTATTGTTATTGTTATTGTTACCAACCTGTTTTCCAAGAATCTGATCCAGCCTGCCGGACAGGTTTTTGACCTTTGTCACAAGATCAGCATGACCAGCCGAGTAGGATTCTAATATAACGAGATATAAGAATAAATAATGTAATTAAAGCTAATCATTTCTTTTTTTCTGTAATAATGGTCGATTTCAAAGGTATTCAGTCAAATTCTTATTTTCCAATCTCTATATCTTTGCAACTTAATGTAGTAGATCTTTGATATTTCAAAGTGTAAATTCAGTTTTATAAAGAAATCTCAGTTTGAAAAGTCCAAGGTTTACACCATCAGGTTGCATAGATTAATTTCTTTACTTTCACTACTCCATAACAATTTACTCAAGACGTATATATCCAGGTCTACTCGTTACCAAGATCAACTCTTCGATTCTAAATGCCACAAAGGCACTATCTCAACCAGGCTTAACTTGCGGGGTCTAAAGAGGACACACAGTCCAAATCTCAGCCAGGATTAACTCCCTAGTTCTAAAGGACACTCAGTCCAATGAAATTGCTACACAGGCAATTTCTCAACCAGGAAAAATATAATTAATTCCAAGTTTAAAACATTTAATCATTTATCATTTACAGCATACTGCAAGTTTACAGAATATCATGTTTACGAGCCTTTTGCTACAATACATAATACAATCATAACAAATTAAGATTTCGCAGATTTTTATGTTTAAAATGGTGGATTTAAAAAAATAAATAAAAAATCATTTGAGTCTTTATTAATTCTGCAAGGGGGGTAAAGAACTTTTATCAGAACAACTAACCAAACATGCACAAACAAACGAGCAAACACCCCGCTCCCCCCAAAAAAAACTCCCAGTATAGTCAAATATATGAATATTCGCTAATTACCATATTTTGGCAATTAGTACTGCAATTAATGTACAGAATGCATTTATGCAAACATTATTTAGTAGGGTAAAAAAGAAATAATTTTGGGATTATTGAAAGAAAATTTAAAATTTCACATAGTTCAATGGGGATACTTTAATTAAATTTTAATTTAGGGGAAGGTTTCGTTAATTAAAATATAAAAAAAACACTTTAATCATTTAAATCTTTAATTTTAGAAAATTAAAAAAATTTAAAAAAGCCCTTTTCCAAAAGTTTTGAAAAACCAGATAGTTTGCGTAGAACATCAGTAAGGATTAGAACTCAATGGTAAAAGAAATGAACAATTGAATCAAGTCTGCAAAAATAGAACAATAAAATCTTCTCTATAGACTTTATCCAGAAGTATGAAAAGAAAAACATGATACATTTTTTTTGCCAAACATTTTTACTTTGCGGCCGTTACTATGCAGATTTTTAAAAATAGTGGATATAAATGTAGTTTCGGAAGAATTCAATGACATATAATTTAGATAACTGCGTCATATCTATTCTCTTTAATCCTTTAAATATCTACCTTAAACTTTAAACTTTACGTCAATTCCTGTTAACTTTGTAACCTAAGCTATTGAATAAAGTTAGTTGATGGAGACTCTGCTTTGATTATGGTATTAGAAGAAGTCTGTGTTCTCGTTGAAACATTACAAGCAGAGATCTTTGCTTGTTGATTTAGCATTGAATCTATAGTAAGCTTGATAATAGAGCTTTGCAAAAAAAATTGTCCAAAAAAATGAAAAATTATACATTTTTGAAAAGCCCTTGACCATGCCATTTCAAGTATGCAAACATTTTTGCAAAATTTTAAATAACCTAATTTTTAATCAAGAAAAACTAAAAATGTGCAAATTTCCTTTGACAGGTTGCTTGCAAAAGTTTGCAATTTTTTCACAAAACTTGTGCAATTCGTTTCCTTATGTCAAAGGCTTTCCAAAAAGCTAAATTTCATCAAAATCTGACAAGTGGAAGTGGGTCAAAACAAATATTTAGTTTGTTACATGAAAAAGCAGTCATTCAGGCAGTGTTCCTGAGGACTCAGGCAGTTATTATTAAAGCCCGGTTTTAGGCCTAAAGGGAGGGCTTTGGGTATGTAGGAAAAGACCAATATTTTTTAAGTTATGTAGGGGGGGTCTACCCCCCCCCCCCCAGCAGGAATAGGATTAATAAATTGCCTGGTAGCAATTTCATTGGACTGTGTGTCCTTTAGAACCCGGGATTTAAGCCTTGTTGAGATATTGCCTGTGTGACTTTTATAATCAGAGAGTAGTCGTGGTTGATCTTGGTAACGAGTAGACCTTGATAGATTCATCTCGAGTAAATTGTTATGGAGTAGGTATTTGCTACAATCATAATGATAGTGTATAATTTTAAACCTATGTAAAAAGCACCATCCAAGTCTTTCCTAGCTTGACATGTTAAAAGTTGTTTCTCATGAATTTTTGAAATAAAGTAAAAAAAGTTCCTGATCAATCATAGTTAGCAAATTCTTTTCTAATGCTTTTAAAATCTCTTTAATTCTAGATTCTTCCTTTTTCGGTTTCTAATTTTTCTTTTCCTCTGACCATTTGGAATAATTTATAAGGATAAGGAAGAGTAAGTTCCATCAGTAGGGCTGGGCAACTGTCTGTAAATTTTCAAAATTATTAGAATTTTAGGAAGCTCTGCACAACAATCTCAGTTGTTTATTCCATTTCAAAATTGTATGTTTGGTAAATTTGCTAGTATTACATTATGCAAAATTTTTAATCGGGCAAATTTAATCAAACGATTTTTCAAAAATTTTGGTAAAATCGTTTTGAAAATCGTTTCATGTAATAATTTGGCAAAATGTTATAAAACAAATAAATTCAACTATGCTCAAGCTTGCATTACTAATAGGCAAATGTATTATTTATATGAACAATTTTCATATATGAACCCTGTGTTGCAAAGATATAGAGATTAGAAATTTATATTCCTTTAAATATGTTTTTTTTTAATAAAATCCAGTAATTCCTATGGTAAACAGATTTTATATTTCAGAAAAATATTTCCGGAGGCCGAATTTAAAGAACATAAACCGCGTTGCTAAATTGCTAAGAACTGGTTCCAATTGAGCACCGGCTCAAATTTCGGAACACTTAATACAATTTCAAGTGTAACCAACAGTTAGAGCCGCGTCTCCAATTTGAGACGCGGCTAAAATTCTTTAAATTCGGTCTTGGTTTTGAATACACCCCATCCTTACCACCCAATGTAATAAAGCTATGAAATTATTGATTTTTTTTATTTTTTTTGATCGCATCTTCAGCATTAATCCTATCCCGGCTGGACTATTTTTTTTTTCAGGGAGGAAAAGGGAAAGGGGACCTTTCAGGTTTACGTCCTTAAAAATTCTAGGAGTGATGGATTAAAGATTTTCGAAATTTTAATTATTACGCTCTGAAAATTTCAGGCGAAGAAGTAGATTGAATTTTTTAATACCATTCTTGGCAAGAACGGGATGGGGAATGGGTCTAGGTATATAACAATGTTATTTCACTATTTTAAAAAAAGGTGGGAATGGAATGTTTTTTTGGTTGAAAATTGATGGTTGAATTTTCTTAGCAACTCAGGAAGTGTAAATTGTAGTTCTGAAAGGGGGGGATTCTCACAATTTTTTTTCAAAGCAGGGGTGTGAATTGCAGGGAGGGGGTAAAATCCTCTCGGAGGGAGGGGGGGTAATTAAAACATTTTTGGTTTATCCCCCCCACCCATGCCCACTAACTTAAATCCTTTCGCCCTTGGGCAGTAGACTTAGATCAATAATGTATAAGAAAGAATTGAAATATGTTTAAAGATATATCTCATTGTATTCCTATCACGTCTTTAACATCATAAGGCCGCAGGGCTTCCTTGAATTTTCTTCTTGCTGCCATATATTTGAGCTTTCTATATGTACAATACAATTATTGAGAATAGATCCTAGAGTAAAGTATTAAATTAGTTCTGCAGAACAGAAATTGAAGTTCTTTACAGCAGAAATCAGTTGTAAAAACAGAAATCAGTTGTAAAAACAGAAATCAGTTCTATAAATAAGTTCTAATAAAAATAATCAGTTCACTGAAGAATAAATCAGTTATATAAAACAGAAATATGATAAAGTATGTAGAAAGAAATCAGACCAAAATAAGTTCTCTAAGACAAAAATCAGTTCTATTCAACAAAATCAGTTTTTAAATTAAAAACAGAAATTAGTTTTAATAGAAAAACATCAGTTCTATCAAACATAAATCAGTTCTATAAAACGGAAATCAGTTCTATAAAGAAGAAATCAGTTTTATAAAACAGAAATCAGTTCTATAAAACTTTTATAGAAGAAATAAATTTAACAATTTCACGAACCACAAACGGTAGACTTGAAAGACGTCATGTAAGTAATCTTATGATTTTTTATGATGTTTTAAAACAAATGATTTTTACCAATAACGTTTCAAGTTATTGACGTGCCTTTAGTTGTTTTGTTTTTGGGTCGTTTTTGGTCTATATATTTTGTCAGAGTTAAAATTTGGCAAATGTTTTTAAGTTAAAAATCAACGTCTGATTTTTGAAATCATTAATTGAGTATTACAGTTGACTTCCAATTCCAAACTTGTATGGTCCCGGCCCCGGTGCAATCAGTTTGAATGTTAAAACTGAAGAACTGTATTGTATGTTTAAACCGGAGGACTGTATTGTATGTTTAAACCTAATGACTGTATTGTATATTTAAACTGAAGGACTGTATTGTATGTTTAAACCTAATGACTGTATTTTATGCTTAAACTGAAGAACTGTATTGTATGTTTAAACTAAACGACTGTATTGTATGTTTAAACCGAAGGACTGTATTGTATGTTTAAACCTAATGACTGTATTGTATGTTTAAACTGAAGGACTGTATTGTATGTTTAAACNCCCCCCCCGACTTTTATAGATTAAGTCCCCCTTCCAGGCTTTGTATACCTAGCTAATGATTATGTCGTAAATGATTATTTCTAACTATTAAATCTGATAGATCAAATAGTTTATGTTTGAAATATCACAGGTTTCACGGCCAAGATATACCGTGACTAAAAATTTGACTATCAGTGTTATTTTCGGTGTTATTTTTTTCATGTATCACAATATTGATCCCTTAGTTTTTTATCGGTTGTACAAATATTTTTTAAAATGTGTTCAAACATTCTGCTAAATCTGACATACCATTCATTGAGTATTATCGATACAAAGTTTATTTTCATGTTGAACCATGGAAAATTTAAAGTTTTGAATTTAATTTAAGAATGGATGGAAACACGAAAGCTTGCTTTCATCTTACTTTCAAAGAAATTGAAGGTTTAAGCACAAAGGAAGCGGAGCCCCGGAGTTGACTGCCAAATTAAAGGACCATTCAACAAAATAGTTTACAGTTAAAGGGAATGTAGACGGATTTCAGAACGTTATACCCTTTTAGCCTCGAGTCGAAGTGCTAATAATTTCAAAAAAGTAATTGAATTAAATGACATTTTTTATTTAAAGCCGGGCAACCAGGCGTATATTTTTTTTTTTCTTTGGGACTTGAAACCCAGTAGAAGTCATATATTCCGAGCCCCCGTAGCCCCCCCCCCCTGTATACTCCTCTACCCAGGCCATTATTTTAAATAGAGTTATGATTTTTTAAATTTGGAAATATCTATAAAATTCCCGATTTGTTGCATTACAGAATTTTACATTCAAAAATCTGGACAAAATATTTCCCGATGGGATCGGAGTATGTACTTAATAAAATTTGCCTTTTTCGTTCTTGGCAAGCTTTCTTCTGTAGGATTGTAAACATGATTTTGATTTTGATTTAGGATTTAAAATTTTTATTATCGAGAAGACAATTCAACCTTTTCTAGGGATCTAATTTAAAGAATTTAAGCTACGTCGCTGAACAACATACTGCCGGTTTAAAGTTAGATATTAAGGAAGGATCTTAAGCGGGGGTTCAAATTTGAAACGGCGTGGTTGTAGCTATTTTTGAAATAAGCATTGCTAAAGGGAGTGACCGGCTATGTAAGGTAGTTGAACTGAGTTACAGGGTTGTGGAAAACTTCTTTCGGATTAATTTGAGACATATTAAACTTTTTAAAGATCTGTAAATCCTGAGCTTTAGCGCGAATTCGACGTTCAAAACTTCCACTTTGGGGGTGGATACGTTTTCAGAATTAGTTTTTTTTTTAAAATTATTAAATAACGACAGTGAAAAATACAGTAAAAATTTTACAGTAATCTAATTAGATGGTTAGGAACATATTTCTCAAAAGAAATTTGTCAATAAATCAATGCTAGAATCAATTATTTCGTTTTCATTATTATATTGAATTTCTCATTTTCTTTGAATTTAGATTTCTACAATATCTTCAAATGTCGTTTCAATGTTAGTTCTAGAAAATCTGAAAAAAATCTTGTAAATAATGAGAAACCAGAATAATGAGAAAATAGAAACTAATAATTGAACAAGATTACTTATTTTCGGTGATAAGATTAATTTTTATTTTCTCAACATGTTCCTATATATGATGTCTGTAGTTTATTGTAGAACTTTTTTTACATTTTATGTCGTCGTTATTTAATAATTCAAAAAAACTAATTCTGAAAATGTATCCACCCCCAAAATAGGAGTTTTGAAAGTCGAATTTGCGCTCAAACTCCGGATTTACAGATCTTTAAAAAGTTTAATATTTCTCAAAAGATTCCGAAAGATCGTTTTCCACAACACTGCATACTCAGTTTAACTACCTTACATAACCGGTCACGATCCCTTTAATAAGAATATCAAGAATATCAAAATACAAAAAAAAAAGAATTTGCTGGAAAGAAATATATATACGGGTTTCTTTGGTAAAACATTTTTTCCATTTTGCCATTAGCTGAAACTTTTCGCTGATAATTTGTGATACATTTTCATGAACCTTTGGAACATCACATAATAGACATTTGTAAACATTTTCTGAAGAAAAAAAATTGCGAATTTTTTCTATCTATAATATCTATACATAAATTTAGCTTGTCTGTCTGTCCGTTTGTATCCAATAAACGTCAAAACGGCTGAACCGATCGGGCTCAAATTTTGTATGGGACCTCACGTGACCCCAGGGAAGGTTTATGAATGATCAAAAATTGAAAAATTTGTGTTTTACTTAAAAAGATTTCAAATCTTAAAAATCCGCATTTTTTTTCATAAAATCCGCGAAATTCTTTTCTTCTTTGTTTTTTAATTTTTACAATGAGAACACGTTCACAATTGAAATAGAAGAAGGGCGCGAAGCGCCCTAAAAGCCTAGTATATATATACTTTGCTTGGGTGTCTGTTTGTTCGTATACAATAAACGTCAAAACAGCTGAATTGATCAAGCCCAACCAAATTTGATTTTTATTCAATTTTGAAAACATAAAAATTATATTTTTATAAAATCCGCAAAATCTCATTGTTATTATTTTACAATGTATACAAAGAAAAATGTGTACAATTTAAAAAAAAGGGCTTGAAGCGCCTTAAAAGTCTAGTGTTTCAAAAAATGCTACCACTTGGAGTGCTATTTCATTTAAGTATTTAAGTATCTCTTAAGTATTAAACTTTTAGATTATTTTAAAAAATTGCTCACCTTACTGCTCGTATTCTTCCTTTGTCTTCTCGGAGATTTCATGCAAAATTCCCTTTGGAGAAGAGAGCAGAGCATTAAGGGCAGAGCTGGATCATTACTATCAAGATGGTTAGGAGGAGCTGCGGGCAGAGTTGCATTGAAGTTTAGAGCGTTGTTCCACGGGAACGGAGAGGAAGCTCGTGACGCACCTTTGGAGCCCCGAGGACTTTGGTTTCGGGAAGGGTTTCGAGAAATGTTCCGCGACGGGTTCCTGGAAGGATTTGGAGAAAGGGAGCGTGAATGTTTTGAGGTTGTTCTTGATAAACCAGGCTTATCTCCGGACTTTCTAGTCTGATCAGTTTCATCGCAGATGTTGCTTTGAGTCTCAAAATTTTCTGTAGAAAACCCCCTCTCCTGAAAATTCGGTAACAGTAAAACAACCAAAAAAGGAAAAAATACTTGTACGAATTGAGTTGCCACTAACTCTGATTTTCTAATCCCTATATATTTGAAACCTAAATGTATAAACCTTTGATATTTCAAACTTAGATTATTTGATGTAACAGAATTTATATTTTGGTACATAACATTGGGTTAATATATAATATTAGAAAATTAGAGTTTGTGGCAAAGACTCAATTCCTTTATATAAGTTTTGTCAAATAAAACTCTGTTAAATGAATTTTCCTGTTTTTGCACAGTAGATCGGTTCCTGTTTCTTCTAAGGGTGGGTAAACGCTGAACAAAAGACGACTGTGTTTTGAGTACAGGTTGGGATCTATGCCGCGGCACGAGATGCATCTTCCACGTGACCTCACTTGTGCAGTTCTCATCCGCGGCATAACATCGCCACAAGCATTGAATAAGAGTTGCGGCTGGAATACGACGCCGGATCATGTGCTTTTGTCGTTGTTGTTGCTGAACTTTTAGAGCAAATCCTGAGCCTAAAATTCCGGCTGGAAGGGCAAAAAATGATATGCCACATAGTGCACAAAAAGAAGCCATTATCTTTCCTTTCCAAGTCACTGGCACCGCATCACCGTAACCAACCGTACATAATGTTATCACTCCCCACCATAGTGCGTGGGCAAAACTTTTAAATTTTTCATTCTCCTCTTTCTCCACCATATATATTACAAAAGAGGAGAAAACTAGTACAAGGAAACCAATGTAAAGTGTTGTGATGAGTTCTTGTCTGTGAGCATATATAACTGTTCCTAGAAGTTTCCATGTACCCCCGCGTCTATCCATTCTGACCATACGAAGGATTTGGAAAAAACGCAGACCACGCAGTGCTGATGCAGCAACTACTCGTTCTCCTAGTCCAGAGAGAACAACAAGGGAGGCACTGCCGAACCAAAAATATTTTTGATTAAAAAAATCAAAAATTAAAACTAAAATTTGTCGGTTTGGGATTTTTTTCCCCTCTGATTTGTTTGCATAGTCAGAGAAATATATTCTTTAAAAAAATTTATTGATAGAAAAACTTAAACAAATGAAATTTATTTTGAAAACAGATAAAGGTTTTTTGTTTTAAAAATCATTATTTGATCACACACAAAAATACAATTAGACCCTTTGGACTACAGTTTTGGAGTTTAAACTTGTTACAAGTTTACCTTGCTTTATTTTCTACCAGCAGAAAAGTTGCTTTATTGTTTGTTCTTTTTACATGAAAGTAAAGTTGCTGATGAATTTTTCTTTATGTTTTTGATAATATTAAACATGTTTTCCACACAAACACCAGACAGTGGAAAGTGACGTTTGCGAGTAAAAACAAAAGAATTAAACATCTGGCCCAAACTTTCATCGAAAATGTTGTAAATCTTTGATAATATTTTATGCCCTTTAATCTAACTTTGGCCTGATTAAACTAAGTTTTATCTTCAAGGATTGGACACTTTCAAAACATAATAATGGAAGGACAACAATTCCACGTGACTTGGACGAGAAAATTAGGACAATGCGGTTCGGACGAGAAGTTGTAGTGGCTGGCCTTCCTCCCCTCACTCAGTTAGTTCTTTAAATTAGAATTTTCCAGGGAGTAAGGAATAGGAGGGAGATATAACTGACGCGGTTCGCCCTACCATATGATTATACATGCTTTGCAGACGGTACTTCATTTGTATAAGAAATATTCAAAAGCATGTATAATCATATGGTAGGGCGAACCGCGTCAGTTATATCTCCCTTTTATTCCTTACTCCCTGGAATTTTCTTATCTTTGTATCTTTCAAACCTTATGGTGTTAACCAAACACCTGACACAAGCTTTCATCTAAAATGTTGTGAATCTTTGCTATTTCAAACCATAAATGCTGCTAAATCTATTAGTCAAAGTCGGAAATATCTATGGTTAACACCATAAGGTTGCAAATGCAAGAATGAGAAAATTCTAATTTAAAAAACTAACTGAGTGAGGGGAGGAAGACCAGCCACTACAACTTCTCGTCCGAACCGCATTGTCCTAACTTTCTCGTCCAAGCCACCTGGAATTGTTGTCCTTCCATTATTATGTTTTGAAAGTGTCCAATTCTTGAAGATAAAACTTTTTTTAATTAGAATATGGTAAGACTAAAGTATTGCATTGATTACACTGCGTGTTAGAATCTTCGAATCATGATGTCAAACTTTATTTTGGTTAAACGTAAATCTCTTTGGTTAAATCAACCGGGGGAAAAAAACATGTTTTTTTATAATTAACAAAAAAAGATTGAAGTTCTATGAACTCGAAATATCTTGCGGCATTCTATCCTAAGACTATTTGAAAATAAGCGTAGAAAGGGAAATTTTTCAAGAATATAGAAATTTAAAACTTTAATTCAAATAAAATAAAACAGTTATTTATCATCAAAGATTGGAAAAATAATATTGGAAAGACGAGCATTTCGAAGTGGTTCGGACGGAAAAAATAGGAAAATGTGGCTCGGGCTAGAAATTGTGGTTTGCCCTCCTGCCCTCGTTGAGTTCTCTTCATTATTTAAAAGAATATTTTTGTTCCTAATGGTAACTACATCTATCAGACAGAAAGGACTTTTCATGAAATACATTCTTCCCATCCAACCTTGAAACCTAAACAATATTGAACAATAGATCATAGAATATATAGATATATAGAGTTCACACTTATTAATTTGGTTCTAAATCGTACAATATGACTTCTTGCATTAAAGGATATTTATATTAGCTCTGTTTTTATGTTTTCTCAATGTATTAAAGGATCTTAGTGATATCTCTGTATTCTGTATTATCTATTTATTAAATAATTTTAGGCTAGCTTTGTATTCTGTATTCTCTAGGTATTAAAGGATATTAGTGCAAGCTTTGTATTCTGTATTCTCTATGTATTAGAGAATATTAGGCTAGCTCGTATTCTATATTCTCTATATATTAAAGGATATTACTGCTATCTCAGTTTGTGTATTCTCTATATATTAAAGGATATTACTGCTATCTCTGTATTCTGTATTCTCTATATATTAAAGGATATTAGTACTAGCTTTGTATTCTGTATTATCTATGTATTAGAGGATATTAGTGCTATCTCTGTAATCTGTATTTCTATGTATTTAAGGATATTAGTGCTAGATTTGCATTCTGTATTCGCTATGTATTAGAGATTATTAGTCTAGTTCGTATTATATATTCTCTATGTATTAAATGATATTAGGCTAGCCTTGTATTCTGTATTCTCTATGTATTAGAGGATATTAGTGCTAGCTCTGTATTCTGTATTCTCTATGGACTGTACAGGAAACTAAGCAGTCACCTGATATCCGAAACCAATAGTTTCAGAAGAGTCTGAAATACAATGTCCATGCTTAGGAACACAGTGGTTAAATATTTCCAAAGTTTGGGGGGGGGGAGCACAGTGTTAAATTTATCCAAAGTTTAGGGGCACAGTGGTTCAAGATATTCAAAATTTGGAATCAAAGACTGTAAATATATTTAAGTTTTTGGAGCACAATGGTTATAGACATTCAAGGTTTGTGGACAGAGTGGTTGAACAGTAGTTAAAGATACCTGGATATACAACCTGAAGACCAGGATAAAGAACTCTCTCCTATACCTGGATATACAACCTGGAGACCAGGATAAAGAACTCTCTCCTATAACTGGATTTATAACCTGGAGACCAAAAAAACTCTGCTCCTATACCTGGATATATAACCTGGAGACCAGGATAAAAAACTCTGCTCCTATACCTGGATATACAACCTGGAGACCAGGATAAAGAACTTTGCTCCTTTACCTGGATATATAACCTGGAGACCAGGATAAAGAACTCTGCTCCTTTACCTGGATCTACAACCTGCAGACCAAAGACGGATAAAGAACTCTGCTCCGAACCAGATTACTATAACTATCTCCAGGTAAAAAAGGATCTCTGTTGCCAACTCCTCATATTCATCTAAAAAAAATTAAAGAAATTGTGTTTTGCCACAAACTCTGATTTTCTAATCCCTATATTTTTGCAACCAGATGTCGTAGACCTTAGATATTTCAACCTATAATTCTTTTGTATCAAATAATTTAAGTTTGAAATATTGAAGGTGTACACAATTAATACGATGTCGTGGATCTTTGATATTTCAAATCCTTTAATCAAAGTTTGAAATATGCAAGCTTAATATTGGTTGCAAAGATGTAAGGATTTAGTAATTTCAGTATGAGGGAAGTAGGGAAGTAATCAATTCCCGCTATGTTAATTTTTCTTGAAGCTTAATAGATATTCATATCGTATGTAGACTTTTTCAAGATTAAAAATTTAAAGTTTGAAATTTTAAAGGTTAATGCGTCATGATCATGTTAATTGAAATAATCAAAGATAATTTTTTATTTATTATATTAGTTATCCGCAATCTCTTAAACTTTTTTAAAGAACTTATAGTGTAGGCGTAATTTAAAGTAATCTTCTACAAGTACTACTAGAAATCAGGCCTATTTAAATACCAAGCATCTTGTGCTTTCACTTAAAATCTCAAAATAATAATAATTAATTTTTAATTTAATTGTGTTTCCATATTTCCAACATATTGTGTGAGGTTTGTAAGTTCCAATAAACAACTAGAGTCTATAGAAACTAATTAAAACTTGTATTTGTGTTATATTGCAACATTGCTTTTCTGGCCTTCAACCTACATGGGGTAGGGATGGGTAGGGGTTTTAATCGTTTTCGTTTTTCTTCGTATTGAACTTTTGAAAACCGAAACAACAATACGATCGTTTTCTGGAAAAAACGATAGTTTTTTTTAAAAATGTTCTTTAATAAAAAAAACATTTTACATTTACTTTGTTTTATTTTCAGTAAGAACAGAATATGATTCTTGATTTAAATGTGTTTTTTTTTATCGTGAGGAATGACCTGAATGTTTTTTATCTAATATTTTTCTAATCGAAGGGTGCAGTGGTAGTGATCCTTTAACTTCAATGTTATGCAAAAGCCAATTTATTTGGTAAAATATCAATATAATTTTTATTCTTCAATAGCTCTTCAATTAGAGGTGTTATGATTGAAAATAAGAGTTCAATCTTAGTTAAGATTAATTGATTAAATTTCAAAATATAGAAGATTTAAGTATTATAAAGTATGTTTTGAAAGGGACTGTGAACATAATTTCAAGTAAGATTATGTACAACTCACAACCATTTTTCATTCATCCTTGATTAGACAGAAATACAAAGAGTACCGTTTTGAATCTGACATGCCACTTTACTCATTTTTTGTCAAGAATATTTTTAATATTAAAGGCCACTTATCAACCACGTGACACATAAATCTTATTGGATTTAAGGTTCTATTCTTTAAACAAATGTTTTTGTTTATAAAAATCTAATTTGTCTAAATAAATTTTTGATGCAGATAATAGTTAAATGATGATAACTTGGTAAGGCAGTAAAAAACCTTGCAAGATTCTATATACATGTTGTATATACATACATATTGTTTTTCAATGCTGCCAAAACACGAAATAATTTGTACAACAATATAATAAAAAAAATACATACTTCCATGGCCCAAAAAACTCAGCGAACCTTTTTTTCTTTCAAAATCAAAAGTTCAGGTAACAAAAATGTGTAAATAAATTGCTTCTAACGAAATCTAAAATTTTAAAAAGATTGAATCACAGAATTTTAGTTCTGGTATAATTTTTACGGAAAATTGTTTTTCAATGATTCTTAAGGTTTCAACTGGACAGCGTATATTTAATACTTTAGAATTTACGAAGAAGAAAGGAACTGTAGAGAATTTAAATACAGAAAATTGTAGATTATGGCCTAAACAGAAAATTGTAGATTATGGCCTCAGCAGAAAATTGTAGATTATGACCTAAGCAGAAAATTGTAGATTATGGCCTGAACAGAAAATTGTAGGGTATGGTCTAAACAGAAAATTGTAGATTATGGCCTAAACAGAAAATTGTAGATTATGGCCTAAACAAAAAATTGTAGATTATGACCTAAGCAGAAAATTGTAGATTATGGCCTGAACAGAAAATTGTAGATTATGGCCTAAGCAGAAAATTGTAGATTATGACCTAAGCAGAAAATTGTATATTATGGCCTAAACAGAAAATTGTAGATTATGGTCTAAACAGAAAATTGTAGATTATGGTCTAAACAGAAAATAGTAGATTATGGCCTAAACAAAAAATTGTAGATTATGGGCCAAACAGAAAATTGTAGATTATGGCCTGGGCAGAAAATTGTAGATTATGGCCTAAACAGAAAATTGTAGATTATGGCCTTAACAGAAAAAATCCAAATATTATAATAGGTTTTATATTAATTAGCTTTTTTGTTTTGTAAAATACAAAAATAAAATAAAATATTTTTGAAAAAATATGTTTTTTTTAAGAGTTTTTAACCCCAAATATTTTTTCATTAGGTTTTGTAAACTTCTATTAAAATGAAATTGTATTACAGGTTTCCGTTTTTCATATGTATATAGATAATCAATAACCTTTTAGTCTATATTTCTATTTTCAAATGAAGCTTTTCGATAAATAATACATTAACTAGTTATATTAATCAATTTTACATGTAATACTGCAGATGTGTAAAAAGTAAAAAGAAATAAATAAGCTTAAAAAAGGCAATATCGTACAAATTCTGTAAATCAAATATCTTTTACTTGATTAATTTCATTTTCATTGATCAATTTATTTAGTTTTCAATCCCTTAAGTGGAATTTTCCAGTAACGGTGTTTGCTTATTTTGATCTGAGAAACATAGAAATTTCGATTAAAAATATTTTTGTTTTTCATTCTAAAACGCATTCATTTTACAATAAGAATAATATTCAATGTTTTCGATAATTTTCATGTGCAAATTTTAATGGAGTGATAGCTAAAGATAAAAGGTGGTTACTGATAAATTTGAATCAAATTCAGAATTGGAAATTACATTTTTTTAGGAACAACGAAATAACAAAGTCAAATTTCGCGAATTTTCCATGCATTTTTTGTAAATTTTCAAAAATTAAAAATGTTGCTTGATAGTTTTTGAACTAACACTTTTGTACTTTGACGAGCCATGAGCCTTCTTGTGAGTTCCCAAACAAACTTTGAGTCTGAGTTTTCACATCTACTGGCAAAATATTTAAAATGCTAAATGTTCAGCAGGACCCATAAAACTGTGGAATAGGAAGACGACTACTAGATTCAAATTATGATTTTTAATAGTTCAATAAACATGAAACAACGCAATTTTGCAGTATATTTCTCTTGATACGTTGATTTTCATTCAAATCGTAAAACTAGTTGTTTTATAACATAATCTATATAAAAAATTCATCTATATCTTGTGTATAGCAGGCCAAACGGCTGGACCGATTGAGCTGAAATTTGTTGTGGACACTCATGTGTTGCCGGGAGTGTTAAAGGCTGAAAATTTTTTTAAAAATTTTAAATTTTGTTTTTTTTTCAAAAATGTTTTCCACGCGCAACGCCGGTCCCTCTTGTTAGTAAATACATAAAAGAATACTTCGTATTCCTATTCCACAACTTTATGGGTCTGACTGTTTAAAAGCAGTGTACGATACTACATAGACATCATACCGATACGTACGTGCTTTTAACCCTATCCCAGCTTGGGTACTTGAAAACCAGGATACCCCCCCCCTCTGGT